AATATTTAAAGACGAGAACTCTTTTGCAAATGCATAGAAATGGTCGGGACTATGCGAGAACTGTCGAGAACTGTGAAGAAAACGACCGGAACTGCCAGCACTCCATACTTATTAAATATAGGGTGCCAGCGGTCAAAATAAAAAATTGTTTAAAAATGTTAAATGTGCGGAATTATTGTTAAAATTGCGCAGGAACTATAGAACTCTTTGAAAACTATAGAATTCCATGGTTTATTTAATATTTTTTACAATTTTTTGGGGTGCTACGGAAAATTAGCACCCTATATTTTAAAAATTGAATTTTTTAAATTAAATTTACGGAACTATTGTTTTTATTTATCAGAAACTGTAGAACTATTGGGTGCCAATGGAACTGTGTTTAAAATATTGAATTTTTCAAAATGGGGTGCCAACTTCAGACAGCCAAAGGTATAGGTTTCAATTGATTGTAATACGCATGTGCCATTTAATCCCCACTCTTAGCCCGTTTTGCTCAATTTCTTATTTTTCGAAAATCTTTTCAAAAGAAACGAAAAACGGAGTTAAGTGGGGGCTGAATGGCATATACGCATTACAGTCAATTGGAAACTTGTACTTTTTTTTCTCACACTGATGTTGGCTTTAGCTCGATACATGGACGGTATAGACAATTCTTTCAGTAGTATATGTTCTAAGTTAATAACTATAATAAATGTTAATATCTTTTTACCTCATTGTGATATATTCCAAACACGATCGACAATAAGGTTATAAACAATTCCAGTAAATAGCAAATGTAATATTTGCTTCTCATATAATACTCGGCAAAAAGTATTAATACAGATATTAAAAGAAAATTATAAATTACCCAAATTGTTAGCAAAAAATTAAATCGTAGTCTTGAGTGGCCTTTAGATAGATCTGTAATACTTAAACCAAAAATATAACTAAATTGTTAGGAGCGGCATTAAAATTGTTTGAATACTTTAATTCATTGTGCACCGTTGCTGTTTCAAATTGTTTTTCTTTTACTGACTTCATATTTGCATAAGTTGCGCGGAATAGTCACGATTATTTCCGATAATTTCTATTAAGGCACTTATATGAATATAAGGTAATCAATTTCCTGAAATTTATATGATATGATCTCTTAAAAAATGGTGGATGATAGATAATTCTTCTTGCACGTAATAGACATACAATTTAAAAAAATTTTTTTTTAATTTTTTGATTAGAATGTTCATAGTCGTACAATACATAAACGTTTTTTTAAACATTATAAAATACGTTTCAATTATAATTACAGCTCTAATAAATAGATAATGTACAAATAACATATATGTAATTACAAAGAATTGTTTTCCATTATGGTAGAAAGTATTATATATTACTTGATTAATTATATAAAAAATATTGTATAAAATGAATGATTCTCTTTGCATAAAGAGAATCGTGGAGATAAAGTCGATATGAAAGTATAATAAAGATTATTTATCATTTACTTTGTAATGCACATAAAAAAGTCATTAATATTGATTTTTAATCATTAATTTTGCTCTTTTGTAATGTCAACATATATCAAATCATTCGAAAATTATAATGCATTTGTAATGGACATTGTAAACTGTCTATTACTATTTAAACTAAATTGTATAAATTTTACTATTATAATTTAATATTATAATTTAATATTAACTATGTTAATTATTTTCTCGCCCTTGTATTACTATAACTAAAACGGTCGCAATAGACATAATGAACTACAAATAAACACAATATATAAATTTTTTTTTAAATATTAATCATTAATTTAAGTTACGTTTATTAATATCAAGTATTACATACCTTATGAAGAAATTTGAAACCAAATTGAAAAAATCCTATTCCGTAGAATCTAAGTGGCATATGCACCGTTTGTAATGAAAATTGTGAAATCTATATTAATACAACCGATTACTTTTAACTTACATATATCTCATTGATTATTTAGACGTCATTGAATGTTTATTTTAATAATGTTCCAACGAACTTATATTTTAAAACTTACGATTTCATGAACTTCAGCATCACACACACAAGTGGAATACAATAATCTATTTAATAAATTTCCTGTTGCACTTGCCTAAAATTAGAGTATGAAATAAAAATTCTTTTTCTAATTGAGTAGTTTAAAATAAAATATATCTCTTAACGCAGTTAGTTTTTATTGAAAATAAATTTTAGGTAGATAAATATTGTTTGAAATTAAACGTAGAATTATTACCTTGTTACTAACTGTTTCGCACACATAATTAATAAGTAGAAATCTAATAGCATTATGAAAAAGCCATAATAGGTATACTGCTACATACATTATTTTATTAGATTTCACATAATTGTCGATAAGTACGTAAAAAATTGCGCGGATGTCAAACACTATCCAACTAAAATAACATGCCATTTTGAAAGACATTTCTGCTACGAATATAGAATCTATCTCAAGGGATATTTTGCGTAATTCCAAATGAAGATGTCTGCATAAATATTAAATTTTAGTTTACACATATTGTATATAAATATATATTAAGTTTTATTTAGTAATATTTATGTAATGGAATTTAATAAGAATTTCTTACCTAATGATCCATATTATGCGTTTAGTATTTAAAGTTTTCGAAAACCGCCGTCGATGTCTTATGAGATTTTCCCGATCATGATTTATTTTATAGTCGTTATTTATCGTCAAATTTTGAAGGTGTTTATTAATTTGATCAAATTTTAATCCTATGTACCTAAGTATATAAAAAAATTGATGAATGATTTTGTTATTAAAAGATAAATGTATCAACTTTGAAATAATAAATAAATATTATAAATTATTTTATTATTATATAATTATATTTGATATTTAAAATTAAAATTTTTAATTTATAACAAAAATTTTTATGAGTAATGATTTAGTTTTATTAATTTATACATATATACATATATATATATATATATATATATATATATATTAAATTGTGGAATAATTATTATATACAATCATATATTTAAAAGTTATACCAACCCAAGTATAGTTGTAGTAGTTAAATCACCAATAAAATTTATATGAGAAGAATGATTTCGTAGAAAGACGACAATTGTAGCAGTCAGAATGCCACAATCATATTCGAAATTTACTTTTACTGCCGTTATACTATTCAGTAATATGACTATTACGAACCATCTTAAGACGAGCAACAGTGTTTTCTTATATAACTTTTCATAATCTGTCACTGTTCCGAGTTCAAACAGTGTATTGTCAATAATATCGAATTTCTTCATGCAGTTTTGGAATTTCTAAAAAGGATGCAATTAGAGACGAGCAAACACAGTAATAATTACTTATTTTGAAACGTAATGATATCTATTATAGATTATGCATCTAATGTCAAATGTACTTTCATTATCAAAAACCTATAATTTTTTACGTTTTCTTTTACAGAATTTTTTTAAAATAATAATTTTATCAGATGTGAAGAATTTTATCATACAATGCATGCCATCAATATTTTACTTTAAATATCGTAACTGTAAAAATACATTCAAAATTGCTTATTATAGTAATGATTATATCTATTAACATATATATTTACTTACCTTATCATAGTAAACACGAAACAAGATTGATAGTAAGTTTATAAATAATTCTAGCCAATACAATATGTTGTACTCAAATGGATACGATTTATGAAAATATGCTAATGGAGACATTGTAAGAAAATAGAAAGCTATCCAAATTAGCATCATATATAAAAGACTAAACCATTGTTTTAAGTGATTTATTGGTAAATTGGCAATCCTTAAACCAAACACATAACTTATTATTAAAAATGGCATTAAAATCGTA